AGATTAAATAACTTAAGAGATCATACCCTCCCCATCATTAGATAGTATAATTCTCACCATTATAAACCACGATTTAAAGCCAAAGGAAAAAAGCCTTTGAACACCTAAGATCAGAGGGAGCAAGGGAAACAACGGGGGAGGGGTGACTGGCACGAATGGGGGGGCACAGGACTGAAAGAAGAACCATTTTCTTAGGAAATGCTCTTGTTAAAAAGGTGCTGGAAACCCCCATCCATGTGTTGTGGCTGACTGATGTCAGCAACTGCCTGGGTTGGGCTCAGAGGGAGCCTCCTCTTTCCCTTCTTTTTATATCATGTGCCTTTCAGACGCCATGTTAGGATCCTACAGGCTGCTGCAGTTTCTAGTCAGGGAGGACTCCTTCCCCATCCTCAACCAATAAACTTCTCTAGCCAAAATAAATTAAATACACACACAACACTAGCATTACTCAGGGTACCGATCACCTGAAATCCAAACAGATTACCCAAGCCCACAGAATTTTCTCTAATCAGACAGAGCAAAACAACCCCCATCACCACCACACACACTTCTCTATCCGGAGCAGATGATCACCTTTCACCCACAAACTTTACTGTAAGGTAAGGGTGCCCGCTCCCCCCACCCTCCACCCCCAAAAGGGACCGCAGTGGGAAAATAGCTTTATCTTAACTGATACTTAAGTCATTATTTTTAGCCCTTCAGAAGTGGACAACCTGATGCTATAAACTTAACCTTATTTTCATTGCTTTAAACTACCCCACCCCCCCCCAAAAAAACCCAACCCTCCACACAATCTCCCAGTCAGGCCCTCTCTAACGATCGCAGTACTCATCTACTGTCGAAATCGCTAAATGCAAGGGTTTAGACACCAGATTCGAGACACTGAATACTGGCTCCACGTAGGGGGAAAACCCAGCTCCAAGGGCGAGGTGCTGCTGCCCAGTCACTGCCAGGCCGCCATGTTGTATCTGGTATTTACACGGGGCTTAAATCGCGAGCCACGCTGCCCTCCCTCCCAGAGCTACTGGTGGGGCAAGTCCCAAACCCTCCCCTACTGCGAAGAGGGTGGTGTGGGGGCTGTTCCCCTCCCTCGAGTCCCCTGCTCCCTATGGGGTGGAGGGTAGAAGAAGCAGCAGCCTTAAGCTTAGCGATGAAAGGAGCCCCCGCCGCCTCGCCCCGTGCTCCCTGATCCCACCTTAGCCACGCTTCCCTCCGCCTGCTTCCCCCACAGCAGCCTCAGCCTCCTGGCCCTCTCCCCACTGCCGCGGCGCTCCACACAGCACCCCCCCGCCATCCAAATACCCGGCACTCTCCAACTCCGTCGAAATCCTGCTCTCACCCTAAACGAGACCACCCCCCCACCCCCGCTACCTCCACGTCCCCTGAACCTCCTTCCCCTGCCTCGCCGTCCCTCATCCTCGCCCAAGCCCAGCTACCCCCAGGCCGCCACCGGCCTCCTCTCCCCACCCGGCCCGCTGTCTGCCCTCCCCCCCCCCCCCCCGCCCCATTTCCCGTCTCCCCGGCCCTCTCACCCGCCCTGCTTCGCTGTTTCTCCCTGTCCCCTCCACTCTCCTCCTCCTGCCGCCCCTCAGCCCGCCGCTCCGCGGCTCCTCCCGCTCCCCTCTGTAGGCCATCTCCCCCACGCCCTTCCTCCTAGCCCCCACGGCCGCCCTAGCCCGCTGCCCCGGCCGGTCCCCCCAGCAGTATAGGTAGGAGTAGTAGTCGGTGGAATATAAAAACCTTGGCGATTTGCGCCTCGATCAGGGAGACGATGTCCTTGGCGAAGGGCACGTTCTCCTCGGCCAGGATGGTCAGCATGTTGATGTGCGGCTTGCTGTTGAACGTCAGGTCCTCCAGCGACGACTGGTAATCGCGGCACGCGTCCTCCCGGGCCTCGCTGCTACCAGCGCTGCTCTCCGGGGCCGACATGCTTCTCCGACCGGGGCCCGCACCAGGACCCGACCCACCGACCGAGAGCCCCCTCCCCGCGATCCCCTGCCGCCGCCGCCGCCGAGTGATGCCGCCCCCCCCCCGCCGCTGCCGCTGGGCTCCTCTACCGCATCCTCCGGGCTGCGGCTCCCGCTGCCTGTGGTGCTGCCGCCCGTGTCGCCGCTCCTCCGGCCGCCGCCGACTCAGTCTCAACGCTCACAAAATGGCGGCGGCGGCTGCGGTTCGCAAGCCTCTTCCTCCAACCGTTGCGTCATGTGAAATTGTTCTCAGGAAAAGGGGCCGGCGGTTTGGAAAGCCCCTTTTGTTCCCTGGCTGCGCCCTGATTGGCTGGCGCCCCGCCTGCTCAGCCCGCGATTGGCTCAGCCGTCACTACCGTCGCCAAGGATTGGTTAGGCCCGCCCTTCGCCTCCTCCGATTGGCCCGCTTGCGCCGAAGCCCCGCGCTCGCCCCGGCGTCCCGACTCGCAATTGGTTGCGCTTCCCTACCCCCCCCACCCCCTCCCCCGCTGCCAACGGCGACCGCACGGCCTCGCCCCGCCCCCCGCCCTCTATTGGGTCAGCCGTTGGCGTGGCAACGCCGTTGCCCGGCGCTCCGCCTCCTGCCTGCTATTGGGTCAGCCGTTGGCGTGGCAACGCCGTTGCCCGGCGCTCCGCCTCTCGCCCGCTATTGGGCCAGCCGTTGGCTTGGCAACGCCGGGGCTGGCGATGGGCGCTGCCGGGGCCTGCGGGCCGTGGCCTCCCTTCCCCGCCGGGAACGGCCCGTGAGCACCGGGGGGAGCGGGGCGCGGTGTCCGCCGGCAGCCCCGCACCGGAGAAACCGCCCGCTCCAGCGAAGCGAGTCGTACCAGCACAGGCCGCAGCGCTCGTGCGTGTCCTCTGCCGGGGCGGCTGTGCCTCAGCAGCCGGGGGGGCCCGGGGGTGCCGGCACAGGGCTGGGCGCCAGCCGGTCCAGGGCACAGGGTGATCCCTGCTTGGTGGGAATTCATTTGCCTCAGCGGGGGTAGGAGGCAGCGACTCTGCCCCTCTCTCTTGCGCCTTTTAACTGATCACCCCTTACACCACTGGTTTTAGGTCCCTGTCCCACTAAACTAAGCCACAAGCAGCATTCCTTCTCTTTACTACACTGGTATTAGAGTGCTAGTATAGTCAAAAGTAACAAAACCCGCTCTTGGTCATGAGATTTGCCCAAAGGGTAACTCTTGGAAGTTAACTTGCTTGCAAAGCATTTTAAGGTATAGCCATTCCTTCCCCCCTCTGCATATTACTTATTAACTGCGGAGAACTGTCAGCATTTGAAAGTAATCCATGGGTGAATGCTTCATTAAAATACACTTTGAAAAAAAAAAATATGTGTGATCATTTTTAGAATGCAAATTATATTAAAACTATTTTTTCCGTTATTTATTTTTTATTTCATATATTTGCAGAATGTAACAGAAAGATAGCAAAAATGGAGACCTGGCAAGTTTCTGGTCAAAGCTGTTGTTTGCCATTTTATCTGGATAAAAATGTTTTTTTAGTTTTTAGTAAATGTTTTTATCTATGTTCCTAGTTGTATCCCCCTTTCTGAAAAATGTGACCTTCAAAACAAGGAAGAGTGGACAGGAAATGCAACAGCATCTTTTATTTGCCTGTTGAATTGCATGTTTACATTTGTTCCAGTAAGCCTTGAAGTGCCGTACTTTGTACACACCACTTTGCCTTTACAGTGTGTCACCACAAGATAAGAAAATGAAACTAAAGTTTCTGTCTGAGGCCAACTGTAGCTGGGACAGCAAGACTTTTTCTTGGTGTAAATATTAGCCTGCTATTTGAAGACATGCTGTCCATGAAGAATATTAATTATGTACCAGGAATCGAGCCATAATGTAAATCCAGTTTATTTGGCAAAACCAGTACATAGTGTTCTGATTCTAGGGGAGAAATGTGGGGGTGGGGAAATCTAGCTCTTCCTCAAACAACTATATTTGTAAGTTAGAATGCTCGTTCGTACTAATTACAGTAGCAAAACCAATAATACGAGCAAAACTGCCTTCATGAGGGTGTCATGTGGTCCAAGGACACCCTCAAAACCAGATTTGCTGTTTAGTAAACAGCAAAGGACCGAGCCCCATGCAAGGCGAAGTCGTTTGCTACCCTCCAGAACACACCCGGCTCCCTGAGACCAAGTACACCCTACGTGCCCCAGCAGATCTGGTATTTTAGTTTGTTGTTTGTCTTTACTGGTCGCCATACGAAGCCAGCAGTACCTCTGCAAGGCCTACAGGCTGTTAGTGAGAAGTTGCCCGTGAGGCCCCATGCTGATGAGTTGTGGGAACACTCCACGCTCTAAGCAATTCTTGAAACAGCTCATTAAGAGTGGCACAGAAATGCCCATTGAGTCTCTCCTTGGGCTCTCTAATAAAGTTTATTAATACAGGAATTGTGTTGTGCCAGCAATATGTGCAGAGCGTGGGTTTATCTGTGCCTGCAAAAGCATGCTTCCTACATGTGTTCTTGAAACCACCCCCTATCCAAAGCATAGCTTTTATGAAATTGTTAGAAATGCTTCCGCTACAGCTATATCCCACCACTGCTTAACCCAGTTGACATAGTTGTCAGTTAAAGTTTGATGCGATTTTTTTTATAGATGCAGCTGGGGGTTTTGCTGGTATAAAACTCACTAAAAAGCCTCTAGACTAGACCTACACGTAGTACACTTGGCTTGAGAATCACCAGCTGATAATTAAGTTTTTCTGGATAGTTGTGAAATTATAGTACTACATGAGAAAATACATCAAGGTAAGAAGACTTTCAAGAATTTATTACGTTCCAAAACATCTGTAGTTGTACTTGAAAATACTCCTACTTGTGTTTATGCTTGAGCTGAATTTTCTTGGGAAGTTTAATAAAATTAAAGTGTTTTATAGCCAGGCAAGCATAGAAAAAAGGATCTCAAGGCACCCAGAAATGTTGTTGCTGTTTTTTCATTCTGGAAAAATTAAAAAAAAAGCATTCTTTTTGACGCGTTTGGAAAAGAAAAACACAGACGCTAAAGAAACAAGCACAGTGTAGATTTTTAAATATTGGTTTAATGAGATGTAAATTACCCCTCTGTATATGAGCTGAAGTCCTTTGTTCTCCAGCCGAGATTCACTTAAGGAAGCAGACAGGGTTTCTCTGTGGGCCTCCCAAAGGGCGAAAAGCTTTACGCTCTCGTCAGGCCTCCAAAGCAGCTCTCCTGTCATCAGCCTTGCACTCTTCAGTAGCTGATTTGTAGAACAGCCTTGACTAGAAAGTTTGCCAATGTAGCTACAGCAGAAGAGCTGGTAAACCCTCCTAGAGACAGGATCCAATTTAAATTCCTTTAATAACTATGCATTGCTTATATCAGCACTGCAAATGATATTTTGCCGTTGAAAGTACATCTGCAGGTTTTTGCCAGTAGAGCTGTATTGATTGGTGAATGTTGTTACAGTCCTGGTATTGCTAAATTGGCAAAACTTTTAAATATAAACCAGGCCTCTGTCGTCTGCCAGTCAGATTACTTCTTGTCTAGGTTACACGGGTCTCATGCAGCTTCCCCCACTTTTCTTCACATTTAGAGTTGTACTTTGGTGACCTCTGACCAAATAACCATAAGCGTTTTATAACTGGATTACCTGTTTAGAACTAAGCACCTAGGTTACTCCGAATGCAGAGAGCCTAATTCTGTTCATAAGGTTGAAATGTAGGAAGCACTGGAATTACAGGCTCAGGAAATCACAAAAAATTGCAGTTTACTCTTCCAGTGTCTGGTGGTAAATAGGGCTGAATCGGAGGTGCCTGATTAAGGAACGATCTAACATTTCTGTACTTATGAAATTCTGCATATTGTAACTTTTCTAATATGGTTTGGGTTTCACAACCTTAGAAATTCTTAAGCTGAATGTATTTAGTAAAAGATCATTTGATAGTTTGATAATTAGGAAAAATTTAAATACAAAAAAATGTTTAGTATTTCTAGACAAATATACTAACCTATATTGCCCTTGAAAGCTTTGCAAGATAGTTCTGGCAGCTTGTAATTTCCGTAACATTTTCATTGTGATGGGTTCATCTTTACAAGAAGGCAGAAAGACTAGAAACAGCAACAAGCCAGGATCAAAGGCTAAGGATAGATAGGGAAGAAACTGTTGAACTAACACATTCCTGCCTTTGTCAATCTACACTAAATACCGTAGCATAAAAAACAGATCTCAAATATTTTGGACAATATTATCAAACCTAGTATTTGGTATGTGGATATAACACCCCAAGATGTGACAGTAGGCTTTTGGGAACTGTGTCTTTATTCACACTAACTCTATCTAGCTGGGCTGCTGGTAAGAGCCTGAGCACAGCAGCTTGTGTTTCTGGTGCTAAAGACTTCTGGTGCTGAGTTCCCACATACGGCTTGTGTAATCTTTCAAAATCCCATGTTGTCACAGCTAGGTTGTTACCAGTACCCCAGATGACATGCTACCAACACACCTTCTGAAATGACATGTTGGTGGGTTTTGGGAAATTGAAGGATTCAAAACCCAGATATGTTTTACTCTGCCACTTGTGTCATCTTCAGCTACCCAGGCAGATATTTATTACTGTGCTGTGTTACCTGTAACTGGGTGACATTTTGCTGGGCAAGGTTCTGAGTTGCTACAGAAACTGTCTCTGCAGATCCATTCAATCAAGCAAGACTCTAGTGACAAGACTCATGCTTTCAGCAGGAACATAAATAATTCACATTTTTGCTGGCCTGCTCTCCATGCCTTCCCTACAAGCAGGCTGGTGGCTCAAAGGAAAGTAGCTGTGATTAGCTGGAACTCATCCCTAGACAGTTAAAGGCATGTTTACTAAAGTATATTATATTTTCAAAACATTTTGCTTCAGAGCATAATTTTTTTTTTGAGAGGCAACACCAGCAAGCTTGTCTGCCGACTGTTTTTCAGAAAGATAATGGGACAGACTCTTCATTTAACTAAACCTACTCCTAACACATCAGATCATGCTTCACCAGTTGTCCCTCGCTGCAGTGCAGCCGCCAAGGAGGCAGCTGGCTTTCTGATTGATAAAGCACACAGTCACATACCACAGTGGAATAAGCTGGAAAAGATCCCCTGTTGTTTCAGATTTGCTTGGCCTTCTCTACCTGTGGGTAGCAGCAGCCATTGGCACAGGTATCACTGGGTAACCATAGCGGTGAAGGACTCACAACATTTAGGCTCTATTTATGCATGCTGCTGTAACTGCTCATTAAAACTTGATGTTAAGCTGTATAACTATTAAAAGACTTCTACAGACAAGTTCAAGAGGATTCACTCTGTATGAGTTGTAAACCCTTCTCACTCTAACTTCTGTCTATGCAAACTATCAGTCCAGTATTTAATCCATCCCACCTTCAACCATGCTTTTGCTGTTTGGAGCTGGGAGTTCAATTCTTCCTTCTGCAACAACAGCAACATCCCCTTTTACAACTATTTTCAATGAATGTGGGATGAATGTCAACGAATATGCGGTGGACGTCAGTGAGTATGGGATAAATGTCAATGAATCTGGGGTAGATGGGAATCCGCAGCAGTGTCTGCGCAAGCCAAGTTCTTGTCCACCTTTAGCAAAACAATTGCCCAAGAACTGTGTGAGTAAACTCCATGTAGTTAAATAGTATATAGGTTGTGTTTGTGTTTAACATGACTGCAGCTAGCCTGGCCTCCGTTCAAGTCATGGACTAACCTTTTTGTTGTGTTACAAAAGAAGCACACTGTATATGGTATGTAATCCATGTAAAAATAAAAAAGTCCTTTAGCACTTACATGTCATTTGTCTTCTTCAGAGGTCAGCTGCATCTGCTGGAGGTTGTGAGTGCCAGATCGTTGTGCTGGGAGCTGCCACCTGAATTACAGCCCCTCCTGCCTCCCCTGTCCCCATCACAGCTGGCTGTGGAATATTCTGTATTTTTTGATGCTTCTGTGCATTGCACCAGCTGACTAGATGTTTTGAAGTTAGTGTGGGAGAATGTATCTGCTTTTCCTCAGTCCCTTTTTAGAAATATTTCTAGCCTGCCAACTCTGTAGAGTAAACTATAAAGAGACTGAAAATCTCTAGACTTCTGGTTGTGGTCTCTGCTCCAAACAGCGACAGCGCAGGGATCTACATCAGGATAAAGGTCTATTCCAGCCATATCCATGCAACTGCCATTTCTGCCCCAGGTGATGGAAGGCGTGTTGTGATCCATTTTACTTTCCAGATCCTTTTGGGAAAACTGCTCACCAGCTCCTCCTCAGCTTGTATCTGTGCGCCTGATCATTCATGCCTTAGTGTACAACTTTGTGCTGGTCCCTGTTGAGTTTCAGTCCTCAAAACATCACTCTGGTCGTCAGGTTTGTGTTGAATTTGAATCCCATCCTCCATTATAACTATAGCCTTCACAGTTTTGTACTATCAGCAAATTTCATACGTGTATTTTCTATTCCATCATCTGTGCTGTTAGTGAAAACATTGAACAAACTAGATTAGATCCCTGTAGCCACCTTTCTGCCTTGAAAATTTATGAAACCAGATTTGTACTGACCCTGTAGGAATTTCAGCTATTGAGTTTATGAGAATGCATCATGAGACAAAAATTTCACTGGAGTCCAGATATCTGATATCTACTGCTTCTCGCTTATTTATGAGTCTTGTTAGCCTATCATAGAAAGAAATCTGATTGCGGTTTCTACATGATAAATCCATGGTAACTGCTACTCCTCTTGTTATTTTCCAAATGCTTACAAATAACTTTTTATCTGTTCCAAATTGAAGCAACTGAAGATGGCTGGCCTTTAATTTGTTAGTTCCAAAGACCAAACCCATCAGATCCTGCTTCTTATTGATGATATTAAAGTTACACACCTTACATTAATGCACTAGAAATGCTGGAAGTGATTTACATAATTAACTTACAGCCTGCACAACTGCCTGCTCACAATGAGCAAGGATCTGATTAGCAGAGAAGCATCTGACCTCTAACACTGTAAAAATCAGTTAAAAAAAAAGGCAAACACCAAGCTCTGAAAAGAAAGAGTTGTTCCTTTACATCTTTGTGGAAACAGATCTGAGACGGGCCCCTGCAGGTGCATCATTCTGTTCTGCTTGTGAATCACTGATATTTTCTGAATACAGTTACACAACCAGTTTTGCACCAACCCTGTAGAAATTTCAGCTGCTTTGCTTATGGGACTGTTATGTGAGACAAAAGCCCTACTGAAGTGTTTATCTTCAATGCTTTTTTTTCCCCTCTCCAAGTGGCTTCTTACCCATACAAGGATTTCTATTGGTTTGATGAGATTTTTTCCAGATAAATTTATGTTGCCAATTGCTAATGTCTTTGTTGCCTGCTGTGGAAAAAAAAATTGAAACGTTGGTAAAGATTTGCAAGGGATTGAAAAAAACATACACATTTGTGTTTTTTTTTTTTTGTTGTTTTTTTTTTTTTTTAATTAAAAGCAAAGCCTCAGATTTTAACAGAAGCACACTTTCCATCAGAAAATGGATGGTTTGACTGTGAGATGCAAAGCAGTTCTCCCCGAAGTCAGTAGATAAGGTGGGGGGTGTTCTTTCTTTCCAGCTCTTTGGTTAGATTAGAAGGAAGTACCATGAATTTTATTTGATGCTGCTTCTCGGGGCATATATCCGGGGAGGAATGTTGTGATTCTTGGCTAAAAATCTCACTTGCCTGGAAGTGCCAATTTTTGGGGTTCCGCTTACAGTACTAGCCCAATAATAGCTTTGTATTCTGGTGAAAAATCTTTCTGTGTGTACTCTATTGCAAAATATTTCCAACCAAATCTGGTCTCAGGATGTCATTTTAACTCTTACCTAACAGAGCTGTGTTACAGCATTGTTAACACTCATGGGACCTTGAATAGGGGCTAAAACAGGCCCCCTCTCCTTTCCCACTCCCATGCGGGGTGGTTTGCACTGCTATGCATCTCCCTACCAACACATCTCTTCCTTCATTAATTTTCAGTCTGGACAAAAAAGCCCATGCATGGGTCAGAAATCAATTATTTTTGCAGTGACCTGAGCTTGTGTGGTCATTGAATAAAACTGTCCGTAGCCCAACTGCAGAAACGCTTCCAAGAAACCCATCTCTCCTTATCCCACCCTGGTTAGCCCTGCTGTATAAAACAATGTAAAAAATATCAAATCACAGTGGGCCGGACTCTGTGGCCACTTACACCCAAGTAACCATACAGAGGGTGGGGGAACTGCAGCATTATCAGCACATTATATCTTATTATCCAGAATAGGCTCTTCCCTGATTCTTCAAACAGGATTTTCCTGTTACTGTGTGTGGGCTGGAAGGTTTAAATACAGTCTGACTCTTCCTACTGCTATGATTGTAATTGTCTCCCAGACATCTTTAAGGATATTGAGTAAGGAGGCATAAACCTGCTCGGTAGAGTAGTATCAGTGCTCTGCAAACCCAATCTTTCTAGCGGACAGCTGGCATCATCACAAAACAGCCAAGCGAGCAACCACTCCCTCAACCCTCTACACTAAGAAACAGTTTTTGACTTAAGCCTATTTTGTATCTTGTAAGAAGATTAAAAGAATTAAAAAGAAACCAAGTGACCTGTTTAGTCCATTTAATATTAAGCATACGACACATAGCTTCATTTTATAGAGGGCCAGAATAAGCAGAAGGGCACGATTACACACCTTTTATGCTGTTCTTGAGAACTTCCAAGCTGGAACACCCTGCTTGCATCCAACTCCAGAGGATCCCCAAAGCTCTGTAGTTGCCTACACATGCCATCGTCCACAGTTCTTAGAAAAACTATCCTATTTTGGTTGTAGCAGAGTAATTATTTCAATATATGAAGAGGAAACGTAACCCTGGCTGTGATGCAAATGTTTAGAGAAGGTGGAAGGTGCCTGGGGGGGTGGGTGTTATGGAGCATGTGAAGCCATGCCCCCTCGCCCCCCTGCAGACCCTGCCTGAGGGCTCCTGCACAAGGGCCAGGTGAGCAGCACTTCCTTCGTCAGTGGTCTGAGCAGACCCCGCTCATCACGTCAGCGCCGTGGTGGCACGCTGGTGCAGGGGACACAGAGGGGACAAAGAATGTGGCCTCAAAAGAGGGGCCCTGCAGCAGATCTGCACCCGACAGCCCGCTCTCCAAGGCTACAGGACAAAGTGATAAAAGCACAATGATTTCTTCACATATTGGTGGTGCATAAAGCCTTCGCCTTTCCAGCTGAGCCCCAGTAATGCCGAACTGAAGTGTAATCTTTTTAAGGACTCCATAGACACTACAGTAAAACAATTCACTAGGTGACCTAAGCGGGGATGTTTAGAGACGTACTCACAGTGTTCTTCTTCAAGACCATCATAACAGTCCTGGGCTAATTCCCAAGTGCTTTTACAATCTGTGCCTGAGTTTCTAGCAGGGATAAAACTCCAACTGCAGTTTATCTGCACGCTGTGGGAACATACAGCTGCCTAATACGCCTGTCTGTTCACAGCACTGTGTTTGTCCAGAAAGAAATTACAGTAAATATTGTCAATCATAAACAATCTATAATGAATTAACAAACTGTTCTCTTTACATCGGGAGCAGCAGGTAAATTTGGATATACTGTGAGAATCACCACTGGGAGCTGTGCCAAGTGAGGTGAGGATTGGGACAGGTCACTAGCCTGGACAAAAGCAGTTCTTGCCTTGAGTTGGGTTTATATAAGACAATACCAAGTTTGGGTAGCTTGGCATAATTTTAAGTGTATTTAGACAAAGAGTGAAAGTCGTGTATTTCTGTGTCTAATTAACCACTTCAGTGCTGTGAAAGGAGCCAGAATCTAGCCCCATAATAAAACTGACCCTTGATAATCCATATATATATATATATATATATATATGTTGGGCTGCAATTTCAGTTAAGTGAATAAATTAGCAGATTCAATTTATCCAGTCACCAAGTTAACACAGCAGAATATATGCATACTGACGAGCTGGTAAACTGCAGCAAAACTCAGCAGTAAGCAGCCACATTAGTAGGTTGCTCAAATAAAATCTTTTCAGAATCTATCTGCTTTTTCTTCCTGTTAGCAGAAATTCTGGTTTCTCCTTTTGCCCTTTCCCCTCTCACTACTTCTGTCACAGGAATAAGGAAGTACACCAGTAGCTATTTGTTTCGCTCATACTATGTGAAACACTGAAAAAAATTACACACAAGCACGTAAGTAGAGGGGCATCAAATATGCTTTGTTCAAGCTCTGCATCTGTTATAAAGGGCCTCATGCTGCAAATTTTGCAAAGACGCAAGCATTTAAAAGGGTGAAAATCAGGCTGATTAATATAGACCAACAAGTTAGCTCTGCTGAGGTGCTTTATGAGTCTTTCTCCTTTGCCTTGCCCTTTTATTGCTCTTTACTTCTGTACTCAGCTTGTGTAAATGTGAATGATCAGGAGAACAACCTGATGCTTCCAGGCCAAAGTTTAGCAATGAGTTTAAATTCAAATCACTATGTTCTGCAATATACTCTTGCCTTGCAAGCATGCAAATCAATACACTTAGCATAGGGCAGGGGAACAGCGTTTTTGGCAATTAAGTAAGGAATTCACATTATAATCCTGAAAGACACCTAAAGGCAGGCACCTCCTCATTTTGGAGGTAATGAACATATATAGTGATATTAGCACTCTGATAGAGTCAGCAGATCTTTGAGGTGGACCTACCTTCAGTTTTCCCTTGAAGCAAATGTCCCGAAACACAAAGCTCTTAACTTCAGAAATCAGATATTCTCAAAACATAAAGGAATACTTTTTTTTTTTTTTTTTAATAGAGAACATTTCAAGTGAGGCAGAACAGAAGTAGAGAATTTCTAAATTAACTTTTTGTAGGGCCGGTCCTTTCTTTCAAATGCTTCTCTCTGTCCCATCCTGCTCTTGAAATGGTTCACCCAACTCTCACCGTGCTTACCTGCGCTAAAGAAAGGCATCTCATCTCCTTCCACGGGTCTGACCATGGCTGCAGCATCCAAGACAGCGGCAGCCTTCCTCCCCTGTGCCAAACGCCACCACCCTCGGTGTTTTGTTATAGATCATGCTCCAGAGAACAGCATACATAGTAAAAATGAGCAGCAGAGGTACTACCCTTGTAGCCTGGCAAAGCCGGCCCGATGGCTGTGGCTGTTTTGCCCTGCAGCGGTCGGTTAGATGCTCTATGTAATTGCCTACTTTGTCTTGTTTCCTACCAGCTGTATATCCAGGGGGGTGTTCATTATAGGTGAATATATCTGGCAATTGTGTGTCCTCTGCTGACTTATGTGGGTGAAAGAAGGGACACAAGCAAATCCATAGCACATAAGCATATTTATAATTTATAAACAGTTATTGCAGGATAGATAAATATCTTTTTGTTTTGTTTTTTTTTTTTTTGTTTTTTTGTTTTTTAATTGGGGATGTTACGGCCTGTGTAATGTAAGGGATGTAGGTAGTTGCTTTAGAGACAGACACAAGAGGCTGGTGATATTACACCAGAGCTTCTGTATGCCTTCAGAGTTTGTGACCCAGGTTGTAGTCTGGAAGTTAACACGTGTCCTATGTATGGGTGGCATAAAAAGGCAGAGTGCACAAACATGAATCTCACAAAGCACATCACTTACCTAATTTACTTACAGTTTCACCAAACTGAGTAAAAACAAAGTAATGCTCTATATTTCATGTGATTTAGGCTGCCATTTCAGTTAAGTCAGTAAGTTAGCACATTTAAATTATCCAGTCACCAAGTTAACACAGCAGATTACAGAATGAAAGAAATAATTATTTCTGTTACCCTTATGTTAGAATTTAATGAAGGTCTAGTTTTCTTTCAACTAGAAAAACCCAGCTACTATTTAGCTAATAATTTATTGACAGAGTTAACCTGTCACTGGAGGGCTCTTGTCACTACTGGGCATAGGTGGCTGTTGAATATCAAGTGTATATTTTGGTCTTAGGCCAGTTACATGATCCAAGCAGTCAAGAACTGTGCCCATGGTCAGCTCAACAAAGTACAGTTATACAGATGTCTGTACCACATCTTCTTTAGATCTCCCTGTTAATATGTTAGCAGTTTTACATTGTTCATTGCCATCACTAAGCAGTAACACAAAATATTTTGAAGATTTAACATGTAGATAGATGGTGGTTGAATCATCTCCAACAGCACTTTTCAAATAGCACTGGGTTTTTTTGCTGAGAACATACCAGTGACAGAGTGCTTTCCATTTTTAGCAACTGTAAAAGATAGTTTACCCTCCTCCTCTCTGACTGTGGCTTAATGACACAATAAATCCAACATTTGGGTCCATAGTATCAGACCATATATACCATAACCCACTATCCACGGTGCAGATCCAGCTTTCACTCATCTTTTGTTACTCAGTTAAATTTTCTCTAAAAGTTTTGTTAATTTTGCACTGACACAATGTGATTACAGCTACTGCTCTCTCTGTGGCATTATCACTTTATGTCAGATCAGATATCAGCTGCCAGCTGTTATAAAACTCATATGAAGCCCATATCATAGATACTTAATTCAATGGAAACGTGGTCGCGTGCCCACACCTTACTGGAACCAAACCGTATGCTTGGGGATCCACTAGTGCACGGATCCAGTAATAAAAATGATGGAATCAGCCTCACACATGCACTGCACACACACTAAAAATAAGACATGCTTTCACTAAGAAAAAGTTAAAAATAAAAAGTTCAAGCAGATGTTTAATTTCTTAGGATCTCTCTCCTTAAAGTCACTCTGGGATTTTACCAAATTAGGTGTTCTTTCATAAGGGTGAAAGGCAGAGCATGTAACGGTCTTGGCTAAGAAAACTTAGCCCTAGCTTCTAGCTGTGACTGCACATGCAAGACCTACACCAGTATCAATTTTGTTTTATAGAAATAATTAAAATTTCTTCAGCACAGTATCTCCTTAAATCTCTTATTTTCTTGTCAATCACTGTCATGTCCTCAGCATTTTTTAAGCACTCCAGATTTTTTACTGTGAAGGAACAGAAGAAGTAATAAGAGCTCACAGCTCATCTGGTTAGCTTTTGACCTAAAACCCACAAGGCTATTTGACATTTTATAAGAGGACATTCCACTCATAGCTAAACAAAGTTTTTTTGTTCCAATTATTAAGGGGCTTTTAAAAAGCCTCCCATGTTCTTCTCTGTGAGTGAATGTTCAGGCTTGGGAAGACAGGGTACACAACGAATCGTGATTGTAGTATTTCAGGAAAGAGTGAGGAGAAGGAGAAGAGAAGGCATCATCACTGCTTTAAGTCAGTTCTTGGACTCCTGGCTACTTGTGTTCAGCTAGAGTTATGAAAGATACAATTGCTCCACGCACTGCTTAGCATCTCCACTGCTTTAAAACTGACCTTTGTGTATTAAAGAGATGTTTTTCATACATTCAAGTTTTGCACTGTTAATTTGTCTTGGAAGACTGACATGTCTGCCCCAAGCCACCCATGACCAGTCGGCAGGACAGTGAGTGATATTTTCATGCGCTGTTGTACCAATATGTATTTCCTTCCTTTGTCATAGAAGCTGCAGCATGTGTTAATTCAGTAGAAAAAAACAGATCCTGTAATAACTGCAAAGACTTATCATTATCATTCCAGCTGTTTTTAATGCTTGTCTTAGTTCAACTAATGTCTAGAGTTTAAATAACAAGTGCATAGATGTTCTCACTACAGTAAATCTCTTTCCCTTGGCTTCTCACCTTAGCATTGCTGCAAGGCAGAGACAAGACGTCTGCAGGAAAAAGCAGAGCTTGTTTTGCTGATAAGAAGCCAGTTTTTGAAACAGAAGTAGCCCCTCCTCCGAGCATGCGTTCTCTTCAAACATGTCACAATTTCCCTGTTACCGAAGTCCATCCTGTCAATTCCTTCCTTGTTGATTTTGGTAGAAAGTTCATCCAAATCAAGTAAGTGGTGACAAAAGATTACACTGGGAAAGCTCAGCATAGCCATTAAAATGTCTCACAAGAAAACCCATCATGTCGCATGTGTATTCCTTGTCATAGATTTTGCGAAATTCTGTGCCTTGATGAAACAACTGCAAATTGTCAATATCCAAAGGCACTGCATTTCAAATCTGGAAAATTGTTGGCTCTTTTACCCCACTGATGTAATTTAGTTTGCTCTATCTTCTTTCCTCTTTCTTGGGGGGTAATACCTAAAAAAAAGACTTGGTTCTAGGAAGGCAAGATGGCTATACAACTGGCATACAGATTATGCTTGAGTTCACACTGCATCAGCAGGGTCCAGTGATATACAAGACCAATGAGTGACTTATGATACTGTTTAAGACATGAACAGGAATGTCTCACTGGTAAGAAGGAATTAACAACAACATAGCTCTGCGTTCTCCAGCTATTTGTCAGCACACCCATCAGACTGTGTGGCCTCTGAATATGCAGCTCTTTAGCCAGACACTATGTTCTCAGAGTCACAAGTTAAACTAAGCAACCCTGAACAAGAAGGAGCATCCAATCTGCTTTACCTAAGCACCTGCTATATTCTGTAGAGAAAGGATGAAATATCCAACTGTAAGAACCTGATGAAAGAATTTATGTTGTTTTCAGTCACCTACTCCATTTCAGCCCTTGAAGGGTCAGATGTCATATGGCTGAGGTTTCAGTGGCATTAGGGGCTCGCTTCTAAAGGCAGTGAAATGCAATCCAGGGGAACACTTCTGGCTGAATCCAGAACTTCTTGGCTCCTGGGCTCATTAAGCTATGGGAGGAGAGTTAGGTGCCTTGGCATGCAACACAAAACAGTCTCCTTGTTGGGGAAGAAACCACTTCAAGTCAGTACGCCAAGTGGGAATCTGCCCACAAGATGCTGGAGAAGCTTGGGACAGAAGTGCTTACTGCCACGACACACTCAAGGCATAGAGTTAAGGCATACAAACAAATCACCGCAAGTCCTACAAAAGCAGAAGGGTTTGTGTAGATGGCAGAAAAGATCCTTATAGGGGATTGTGATCCGTGAGACAGGTTTTCATAGGCAAATAGACTTTTGGATGGCAGGGTGTTATTACTACACAGAAAATAAACACCTTAATTTTAGTGGATGGAACCAAAACCATGTTAGGAGTTGAACTAGATTGTAAGAGTAAGGGCATCAATGGATATATCACAGATGTGAATGAATTTGGTCTTAATAACTACACACCTACAATACAGTTTTATGACATACTTTCATTACAGCTTGGCTCCATTTAACAAAGCAAAAACCCATGCTTATCAAGATGCTATTAGAGGATGATATTTCCACACCTCATCTTTCTGTATAGATGGTCATCATATTGAAAAAAAAAAAAATCAAATCAGAATTTGCCTCCTCTATGAAAAAGTTAAGGGCTAAATCACTGACATAATTTAACCTTGCTTTAGGGAATCAAAAGCTAGAGCTTGCAGTGAATGCAAGTAATTAGTCCAGAAATCAAGAATTCAATAATTTAACCCAAACTACACACAGCTCATTTTTTATCAATTCATTATAATTCAGATTAACAGGGATGTAGCTCAACCCTGTTCTCTAGGAAAAGGCAGTAATCCATTCAAAACTGATAAAACTGAGACTAGTTCAAGTAAAAACTGTTGTCTAGCATCATCAATCCAAATCCTAGAGGACAGGCAGCAAACAACAAAGAGCCTGTACAGGGAAAGCTAAAGGATTAGAGATGACTCAGTATGTCACTGCATCATTGCAAAAAGGAAGAGGCTATTTCATAAATCACGGGTCATTTCCATAACTTGAAAGCCCATATGTATGCTAACAGGTCATTACAGCAAGGAATTACACACAGAATTTTACGTATTATTAATCTCAAGCAGAGCACAAGTACTGGGCACACTTAAATCCTGCAGATAGCTCTATACAGTCTGGTATTGACTGGAAACTGTTCCGGAAGAGCTACAGCGTATGCTGGTGTCATGAATACACTCCCATATCTGCAATAGCCTTGTCTTATCCTCCTGACTCTGTTCCTCTAACCCCTTAATCATTCTCATGGCATTTCTCTGCATTCAAATACATCAAGCACCATTCTTGCACTGTGGACACAGTTTTGGAAACCGGTTCAAAAGGCTTGATCCCGGCAGAAGAGGATGCAAATCCTACTCATGTCTGTGTTTAGTATTGCCTATGTTTTGTGGAAGTGAAAGCCAGAGGTTATCTGCTGTTTGTAGCCATTATGGAAGATGCTCTTCAACCTTTTGCTTGAATTGGTCACTAGGTTACTCTGTTTCTGCAGAGAGGAGTATTACCTGCTCTAGGAGATACTAAGGCCTTATCTGTGCCATACTTCTGAAATAGTTCAAAATGAAGACTGCTAGTACTCTTTTTTTGAAAATTAAAGAACTTTACATAGGAATTCAGTTTTGAAAACGGGTTCAGAGTGGTAAATAAACTGAAATCAAGGATGTGAATCTTTGAATTTTTGTTCAAACCTTTAAAACTACTTAAATATGTGTAGGAGAATTCTCAACAGTATATCTAATACAGAATATAAATCACTATATATTAGAACATGACACATTTTCCATCATCACTTACTACTGCCTTTTATTATGAACAGCTTCCTAACAGATCTGCAGTCAACAGCCTAAACTACTTACACTTGTGCAATTCCACTGATTTCAGAAGAGTTAATGACTTCTACTGATTACAAAAGTAACTGCCATACTTTATGCCAGTGGATGTGAAATCAGATCCATAAAATCTATTAAGTGTCTACAGACCTTTAAAGATGAGGCAGTACTACCCAATAATAGTAACACCAGCCTATAGACACAGTGGTGAGATGTATCTCAGCTAGAGGTGTAGGTTAGAACTTTCATCTAGTCTAACCTCTGCTCCCTTTGTAGTCAACAGAAAGCAACAGACATCTCAAGAGACAAATTAGTCTCCCTGTAACACAAGCATGAGAATTGAAGCCATTCCTGTGTAATAGTTACTCACATAATTAACTGTCTAGTCATTAACTGTCGCACACAGTGGGACTCCACATGAGAGCAATTATATGTGCACAAATGTTGTTTGGGATCAGGCTCCTTATTTGTAACCTTAGATTCTAAATTAGGATAAGGGGTATTGAAATCAACCTTGGGATATGTGCAGCCCTCTTCACAGAGTGTAAGAAAAGCCTGAGCACAGACTGGGCATCTGCTAGGTGTCCGAAGCTCGGTGAGATTCATTTCCTTCACTATTAGTGTCTCAAGTTGCAATCCCTAATAAATCCTAGAACACTGACAACTTATTCACAGAGTTATTTCTTTAAAAAAGTTTGGTCATAGAATGAAATCATGCTCAGTCAATAGCAACATAACCTCAAACCTGTCTTCCTAAATTTGATTATAATGTTTAGCTATTCTCATCTGGAAGAATAATGTCAGAGTAAAATAAACAGTGAGGAAAAGCTCAAGTGAAAATCTGTTAAATGCACAATTTCCCATAATTACTATATAAAAATAAATGGATTAGGAAATAAAGGAAGCACTAAGACCAACACACTCAATATTCAGCCTGTAGCATTTAAAGCAACATATAAATGGTTTTACAGCCACCCTCTGCTGGTAGAGACCCACAAGTACAGTGGATGAGCAGCTAGAGCAGCCTCTCTCATTTCAAAACTAGCAGAGATCAACAACTCCGAGGTGCACTTTGCAGCACCATGTAGTATTTGGCTGCACTAAAGACTTCAGAGGTGTGACACAAGTGGTGGGGAGCTGGGAGCAAGACACCCTCTCTGCCTGTTAGCATTACAGGGTGCAGGGAGTCTGCAGCAGGGGCACTCTGCCCTTCCCTCACTCCCCTTGCAGCTGCATCCAGCCCAGGTTAAACTCACAGCCACATCCCTAGGAGAGTCTGCGGAGGGGGAGAGGCTATAAAGGGAAGGATTTATGACTGCTAACACCATCCATATCCTCTTTGCTGCTCTGTAGGCAAAACAGATGGGCTAGTAAGCCACAAACCCTGCCTGAACTTTGACTGTATGAGAACATACATACATTTTAAATGAAATGCAAATCTGATGTTCCTGTTTTGAAAAAGGCTTTTATGTTTTTTACTGTTTTCTAAAGAAATAACAAAAAGCCACTTTACATCTTGGACTTACACATGTGAACCTACCCAATGATGCTACAAACTGGCTATGAAGATGGGAGAGTAGTTAAAACTGTTTCAAGGTTCAAGAAGTTACATTTTATCTACAGATGCCTTCCAATATAATCATTATTAAAGTGGGAGTGGTAGTTGGCTACATTTATTAGTGCCTTAAAATGGCGGGAACCTCTCAGAGGGAGTTAAGTATTTGAGTGTCCTCTTTAAAATGTTGTCAACTAGTTTTCCAAGGGATAAATAGTTTTTAGACAGAACACTGTAGGCATAACATCATAAGAAGGGCTGGGTTTGCTCAGCCTGCTGACAAGTTTTTGCACTATTATAGTGACTGGTTGGTTCACAGCAATAAAGTGGTTCTACACCTTCCCTGGGTATCTGCAAAAAGGCACTTCCGTCAGAAGTATCTGAGGTAATTTGCTATAGAAATCTATTTAGCCTCACGTGTCAACGGTTTAGAAAATGGAAGGTGCTACTTTAAATTTTTAAAATGCAAGGGTTAAAAATATGAAACTCAGCACACAGAGAGTGTTTTTCATCTACCTTTTAAGTGCTATTAGATCTCTTCCTCCCCACCCACTCCTGAAATTCAGTGGGAACCAGATTTTGTCCCAGAGGTAAGAGACGCTGGAGTAGCAGCAGCTAGATATTCACACAGGTGTCCTCCAGTGCAAAACATGGTCCTGAAAACTTGGTAGAAATCATTTGCCCACTGAACGTACTAGTAGAGGAATCGGGTCCTCTTAAGTTTGAGCTCAGTACCTCTTGCGGTGTGTAACTCAATTTTAACATTTGTTATTCAAATATTCCTGACTTACCTAATGTGGATACATACAGCTGTAACATAAAACATGAAATGCCTAATAAGAAATGTGATTCATATGCCTTTGCATAAAAAGTCATATCTGTACAAAATGCAGAAATGTAGTTGACTGTAAGTTACACAGAATATGTAGGGACACTCTGGGGCTGAAACATCTACTAAAAAAAAAAAAGGAAATGGGTCAAGCATGTTCTTCCCATCAGCACCTGCTCTGAAGGACCCTTGGAAAAAGTGTATAGCCACCTTCACGGGAGCTCATCAGGGCCTTCTTAGCATAGAATTTCAAAATCCTAATGAAGGATTACCACAATAGGGCCATGGAAGAGTATCTGATCATGGTACCACTAAAGAGAAAACCAAGTCACAGAAGATGCTCTGTTAAATTTAACAGAAGTCACACACAAGACTCTACAAAGGTGTTTCTTGGACCTTGTCCACATTCATGTCCCCTTTGTTACAAACTATGTAAGGACCTGAAAAAAGGTTCATCTGATGGCACGCCAGGACACATCCAGGCCTCCTGTACCTGATGACTGCTAGTGCTGAAGGGCCACAGTAGAGCAGCCATTCTCAAACAAGAATGGGAGTGAGCTCCAGGAAGGGGGACACAGAAGCCATGGGGACAGAAAGGGACAAAGGCAGGAGACAGCAGCTCTTGAGACTGGTGTCCTCTCACCTCCTCCCCCACAGGGTGCTGCTGTCCCACCACCCAGAACAGGGCATGGATGGAGGGCAGCATCTGATCAGACCCCTGCATCAGCTCTGGAGCTGTTCAGGACAAACCAACAGACAAGGAAAGGAGACTTATTTCCTCCAAGCTTATTCTTCTCTATAAAGATGGGATGTGATAGCCAGAATTCTGCAGCCACTGGAATCGCCAGCTCCACACAGCCAAACAAATGGGGAATTATCTATTGGCTTCTCACACACATCAGGGCATAACCTACTGATTGAACACTGAGTGCAGTGTACTATGTACGGGTGACAGGGAGATGCTACACAAAAGGGAAGAAAAACAAACAAACAAAAAAAAACCCAAAACCCAGTTTGGAAAACCTGTGTGTTGGCACAAAACTTCCCGTAACACCTGTGTATTAGCTAGAAACAAAATGGTGGCCAAAACCAAATGCCATTTGTAGGTGGTGGACACAAGCAAAATAACACCTTGTATTCCCTGCTGTATGTCACTGACTGCTGAGCAGTAAATTCAGGGGAGAATGGGGTACCCACCCCTTTGCATCCCACAGACGTGAATGTTATCTGGAGGCTGTTCACATAAAGCATTACCATAGCACAGGGAAAGTTCAGGGTGCATGTTTCCTTTGGGAAGAATAAGACTGGTAAATTGACTGTACCCAAGAGGAAGATCCACCCACATCAGAGAGCATGATGGAATGTCGCAGGGAGGCAGGCATATTCCAAACCCAGGATCTTGGCTGTCATGATTTGTACCTAAATTTACCTTCAGATAATGGAGAACTGACTATAGCAAGAGGCTGGGATATTTGAGATACTGTCAAACCCATGTGGGTGAGGCTGCAATGCCACTCAGAATGAACGGCAGCAACATTACCCATTCCGGAGAGCTGCAACACCGACGCGTTGACAGAAACTTGTGAGAGACCCCACACATACCTGCTTTCATGGCCAAGCATGTCACGTGCCTCTGTACTCATGACAAGGTTAATCCGCAGCCAAATAACCTTCTCAAGGATGAGAGCTTAAGACAGATACGATTAGATATTTTAACAAAACCAGATGATTCATACAAACTGTATTTGTTGGGGAGCAGACCGTCACGTTCAATCTGTTCTCAAGAGGGAACAGCTACTCCATGCCAGGAGTCTGTTGGCAACACATAGCTCCTCTCTTTTTCTGCGATTGCCTTATCAATTTGTATTTTATAAATTGTTATGAACGATTAACAATGTATATAAATGTATTTATACACATTTTATATAAATATATGCCTGTATTTCCAGGTATGCATTTACAAATATACTTACCCTATTAATGTATTTATAAATTATTATTGTAGAAAAATATTTATTCTTTGTAGTAAAGAGTAATCAAATTAATTTATTTTCATTGGTCCTACTAAAATAAACTCTTTCCTCACCCACTTGTTTCCAGGAGGTAGCACAGGGACAGTGGTTGCTCCAGTCACAGTCTACCCTGGAGATGAGAGCTTTCCACGGGCAAGAATTTGCAGCAAGATAAATGGACCTCAATGATACAAGCTAGTAAATTGTGGCTGCCCTTCATCCCTGGTGAGACACAGCACCCACCTGGCTGTGCAACACCCTCCTGACAATCTGCCTCTCCTTCTCATTTGTTTTTCCAGAAAGGTTAACAACAGCAATAACCTAACTCTTAGGGGAGGCAATTACTACATTAGCTGACATTTGCTAAAGCAGAGCAAGTACAGCGAAGCCACTACACATCACTCTGAAACAGCTGCCACCACATCATCCTCGTAAGACTTCACCATTATCAGAACAGAGGCAGTAAATCATATTTGCATTGTAAGAGTTCATGGTAGCAAAGCTGACTTCACTCCTATCAGAAGCACTGCAAAAACACTGATGTGGAAAACCAAGATTAGGCTTTTCATCTATCACATGTGAAACATTTTAGTACTTAATTTTCTTTTTTCCTGATCCACTCTATCATTAAATATAAAAGGGGTATTTGGCTATGTGTGCAGGGGTAACATACAACTCCCTAAACGGAAGAAATTAGTTCTATCATAAGAGAGCATATTTGTACTCTCTGTAACTGTCAAAATAAGCCCAAATTTAAGGGAAAACAGCTCCACGCCTCATTCCAGCTGTTCTCTTGCTGGGATTTGTGTGCACCACACCTAACAATTGCCAATGCTGCTTACATACATTGGGGTTTCTCGAACTGCTGCTGTCTAGTCAGGTGGCCACACGCAGAAAAACATTTAGCAGGGTTGTGAGACCTGAAGTAGAAAAACATGGTTAACAAAGGCATTCACATGCACAAGGGACACTCTGCTGCTGCTGCTGCTCCTCCCCCGCAAAATAAACTGCATCCTTAAATGCACGACTGAATGAGACACAGGCTTCAGCAACAAGCCCAAGAACTTCTGCTCTGTGCTGTGCACCTGGCCACCTATTTTTAGTGCTATGTTGCAAATGCTCTAAACCAGCTCACTAACCTGATCCAGACTTTAGAAAGCCGCACTACAAACCTCCTCCACTTCCCACTCCAAGTCACAGAAAAGCACACACAGGGCAGGGAGTGTGCGTTAACACCCTGATAAGGACACGGATAGCTCACTGTGCTGCTCCAGATAGTATGGTTGTTGTGAAAGGGAATGGTGTACTGTGGCACAGAAAGGCAAGGGGCAAAAGATAACACCTAACTCCTTAAACCAGCAGTGCCACCACAGCCACCGCATCATGCAGCTGTATTTTCTGAGAGCTTAAAGCAGGGAGCTGGGGTAATATGCCTCTATTGGATACAAAACAACTCTGATAGGCATGAATCCAGAACTTGAGGAGAAGACTGAGCAAAGTAACCTAAATAGCCAGCTACTCACCCCTAAGCTAGTTTTGAGAAATCTCTCCTATACTGCAGCATGTCAGACCTATTAAGACAAGAAAAATGTACCCTTCTCACCTTGAGAACCCTAGGTCTTGCATATGCAGAAGAGCAAGATTCAGAAGCTATTCTGGGTCATACAACAATAGGTAAAGTGATTGATCCTAGCACATTCTTTTTTAAGTCTCTGTAAGAGCAGCATAACGCTATCTTTTTCATAATGTTGTACAACAGGAAACCAATGGCTGCAAGAGTAGCTATTGACTTCACCGTGAGGAAGCAGGCTTGTGTAAACCTGACCTATGTGGACTGGGGCCAAGACATAAAGGTTAGCTGCTTACTAGCAGTCCACTAAATTATATCCTTAAGACACTGCATGTAAATAGCTTGACAGAATGGAGCAAGTGAAGCTATGCAAGTGGAAACTTGGCCAGGAACCTGAGACACTGTTGTTCAGTTTTCCAGGAAGAGATATTTGAAGAAAAACTGAAAAACAAACAAACAAACAAAACAAACACACCCACCCACCCCCCCAAGAAAAACAAAAACCACACTACACAAAAAAAAACACCAACAAACCAAGCAAAAATTAATCAGGTGGTACATAAGAGCCAACCAGCAATAATGAATAATGTACAGGAAGGCTAAATAAAAGTTTGGGTAAACAGTGGAGTCCAAGGCAGGGAAGAGAGCAAACCCAGGGAATTCTGGCACAGCAGACACTATCAAATGATGGCCTCCTCAGAGTTGTGCTTTTTCCACACTTACTTACCCCCCCAAAAAATGGGCTGTGTGCATTAAGGAATGCTAACTGCAATACTGCTGTTTAGGTAACTACACTGCCAAAGCTTGTATTTTAAGCTGAATCATATAGTAAACAACATGTAATTTCTACTACTGCATCCAAATAGCTGGAGAACACAAGAACACTAGCATGCATCATCAGGGATTCCAGCGTATCAGTTAGTTGCAGAACTTTCTTAGAAAATAAATAGTGGTGCGTAACTTGATACCAACTTTCAGTTGTTAAAATTAAATTTTTACGTCTGGTTATGGCTTGCACTTTCCTCCTGCAAACCTCACAGAAAGAGTGTTTGAAGTTTACCATAACTGAAGGTTTGCATTGCTTTTGTCACAGCATCCATCATCTGCCAAAATGTATTCCTTCCACAAAAATATTTTTAGTGGGGTTTTCAAGTTTATGTGGCCCTTCAGAAAAATTCCCTGTTGCATCCATCCAACAGCCCCCCTGCCCAACCCCTTTTTTTTTTTTTAAGGAGTGAAAGCTAGTACCATTCTTGAGGTCAGCTCACAGACTACTTGTCTGGCACAGACACGCACATCAGCTGAACGGTATCAGTTATTAACTCAGGTTTACCACTACACACCACCACCAGACCTTTCCAGGATTAATTCCAACTGAGGTCCACACCTAGTGTAACTTCAATGGGATAGCCCTACCTGCTTTATGCAGCACAGGGATTTATCAAGTTTTGTGCTGAAGAGGGCAGTGCACACACAAAGCTCAGCTGAACCAGCTTAGGCCAAGTGTTTTTTTTTGTCCCACGAGGAAGCACTCAGGTGCGCCCTGTGGGCAGATAGAACACAGGCAACCAAATGATTTGTACTGCTCTGGAACCCATCTGAGTCATGTTTGTGTGCCAGTGACCAGCAACCCACAGGTGGGGAAGGGTTCTCCAGAGCGGTGCTGCAATCAGCCAGATAGCTCTGCAGGAGTCAGGTGAACCAAGCAAAGCTATTTTTAAATCAGGAAATACTCAACCAAAACTGAAGCTGTTTAGGTGGGTCTGGATACTTTCGTATATGCTCTCATCAGTGGTTATCTTATGCCATCCTGCCTTAAGAGATATACCAATATGTAGCCAAGAAACAGCTGCATAACATACTCGACTTCTGAGTCTCCTCTGTTTAGGTTTCCCGCACTGCTCATGTGCCTTCCCAAAAAGGAGCTTCCCACAACTGCAGTCTTTTGAACTATCTGCAGTTTTTCCAAGGCCCACCACAGTGCCCTGACTATCACTTTTAAGTCCCCTTTTCCAGTGCCCTTCTCCAGTATCTATGATAGAAACAATTTCCTGTTTCAGTATTAGATGAGTTCTCATTTAAATTCAAGGGATTTAAAAGTTGTGGAAGAAACCAAGCTTTTCTCTCTACTGAAATGACTTTTCAGATACCAGTTCTTATGAACTCAAGGACTTGCAGTAGCCTGCACACCCTTCCTTATTGTGTAACTGCTGTTGAACTGCTGCCATGTTTCAGCTGAAGAACATGTCCATGTTACCTGAAGAGGTTCTTGACTGGTCTTAGAGCACTCTTCTTGTACTGAAAGACAAAAGTGAACACCTTATAATTAGTCGCCATAACTATTTTCAGGGATGCTTTACAAACTTTTTTGGCGATGCAGGGATACTAGGTTCTTCCAGAAATTGGTGTAACAGCTGCCTCCCCACAATTTCATTGAGAACACTGAAAAATGCAGAAGCCTTTCACTTCTGCTTTTCCAAGTTCTCCCTGTTTATGAACAAAATTAGCAATAGAATGTATTTTTCTTATTGCTAACATTAAAATACTTGTAACAATAACACAATATAGTACTTCTTACCTGTTATACCCTGCTAAATTCAATCTCACCTTTTACATTGCAGCTCTGGCATCTCCTTGGGAAATAGCTCCATGGGAAACAATTACAAACCAAAAAACTTCATAGCAGCTTCTCCAGAATCCAAGCAGTAACTTTGATATTACGGTTTACACCCTTCCCCCATCAGCTCTGAAGTAAGCAGTTGGTCAGTAACACCTCAACCTTCCTCCTTGCAAGAAGACTGTGGACAACTAAGTTTTATAGCTGGGATAATTAGGAGAATGGGATTGTAAAACAAAACTTATGTGCCAAGAGTAGCATAGATTTTATCACTCGCCCTTAGAAACCATATTCCACTCCCCTTTTGAGTATATATGAAAGTCTTTTCATTTGGGTAATTTGCATGCAAGTAATTATGTAAGGCCTGACAATTAATTTGCAAGAACTGAGACAACCCCAACATCCTTCCAGTTCCCTATGCTGCACTGACATGGATGTTGACAGCATGACAGCAAAGTATCAGACACCTTAAAAACTATGTGACCACATATTTGTACACTTAATCTTGTAAATTCGTGTGTTTCTCACACAGATGGCAGAGCTCATTTTACTATCTAGCGAAGGCTCAATTTAGAGCATCCCAACTCCTGAAGTTTTCATTAAGAGCAAGAACTTGTCAGAATGAAAGCCGAAGTATGAAGCCGGGTTTCTACATATGAACTTAAATTAAGCAATTTCTTTGAGCAAATGCATCACACATTCCTATTTATCTTCTGCATCCCTTCTGCAGGGTCTTCCAACCGCTTCTTCTGGTCTTCAGGGCACTGGGTGGTTGCTTACCTGAGTCCACAGTCATCAAAATCACTCTAGTAACAAAGATAACCCAGAGTTTCTGCAGTGTTGGATGTCAGCACAATAGTTCAAATATAAAAAAACGTATAAGCTTCATAGGCACAGGATCATACAGACACTGGACTAAGTTTTCATTAACAGTATTAAATCAGAGTGTACCCACGTATTTAAGAAATGCCAAAGGCAGGCTTTCAATTCTATCATCACCTTACGTCTTTTCATATAAAGTGCTGAGACATCACTTATTTCTGCAATAGGACTGTAAGCTTCTTGTGGACCTTGCAATTAAGACCCACTGGGTCAGAAGACTTGGGCATTTGCGCTTCCTGGTGAACTGAGTATCCAAGCTTGAGACATGTAACACAGGTTTCGTCATTAACATCTCTGACAAATTGTCATCAATGACTAAGACCCATACGCTGACATATCAGACATCCCCCAAACTGATGAAAGTGAACTATATGCACACAGCAAACTGTTTTGTCTCTTGAATCAAGCATTCATTTGCCTTTTTTCTACAATTTTTCTACAGTTCCTTTTTTTACATTTCAATATAACAACTCTTAGATGCGACATCTGTGGCATCTACATCTTCAGATAAACAAACATGGTATAAATAATAAAAGAGTTATCTGTAAAGCAAGATGCATCCCTGTGTCCTCCCCAGAGAAGCAGCACTGACACAACAGGGAAAGGCAGGGAGAGAATCAGTGCAGATGAAAGCAGTTGCTTCTAAACCAGTTTAAATGAGAAAGCATACTGCCCTTAGGTCAGCAGACTATCTTGGATGAAGATTTCACAGACTTGTTTTCTGCCAGTTATAGAAAAGACAACCAAGCTCCTCCCGCCCCAATTATCCCATTGCAATACTTACCATTATTGGTGTAAGCTGCAGAGATATAAACATAGGCTTGAAGTCTACAGTGGACAACTGCTGTGGCAGAAATCATTGTGCCACTGCCCTTTTTTTTTTTTTTTTCACTCACAGCACACCTAATCTAATGGCATCTGTGTAGACAAGAAACAGAAGTAGAAAAGAAATAAAAGGGACTGTACTTGTAATTCAGAATTATTCAGGTGTATGCAACTATTACTGAAAGTCACAGCAGCAACAGAGCATTACACTCTCTCCACTCCTTTTCTTCAGTGATGAACATGGCAAAACTTAAGGTGGTGACAAGCACCTCCTGTCCCAGGACACCAGACACTGTAGAGGAGGGTAAGCACCTGGTTCAGATTCTTTAACTAGAGGGAGCTGGATTTAAAGAGGTAGAAGAATGGCACACATTGCTGTAATATCAACAAATCTTGAAAGGCTGCAAGATTCAGGTTAACTGCATCAAGGAACATCTCATAGCATCTTTCTTCCACCATTCAACTGTAACCCAGGCCAAACAGACTACTGTATCTGTGTAGTTACTGTGAGGCAATATCCTGAGCAAATGTATTGTACTTACCTCCTGGAGGAGCCAAAATATGAAATAAAAAATTTGTTAACCTCATTTTTCCTGAGCCATACCACTACTTAACTTTCACCAAGACTTCCAGCAAGCCTGCAAAACTCTTCTCAACTCTTTTCAGTGGAGTATCTTCTTGAAGTAATAAAGTACTTTATTTCACAGGAATCAGCTGTAACTAGAAACAATGTTATTTCACAAACCATGAATTCTTTCAGTGTCTTCCCTTCCAATTTTGAGCAAAGATCTTCCACATTATTTCAGGGAACTCCAGTCCCTTAAGCCTAACAGAGATTTAATTAACCTCTCATTTGTTGAATGGTTCACTTCCCATTCCCCAACACAGAAACTAGCACAAGCAGGGATGATGTTCAGTATAGGAAAAGTCTACAACTTGCTGCTCGAAATGTAGCCTACCTCCTACACACCAGCCAGAGGGTATGCCGAAACTCAGACAGCACCTCATCAGCTGGATAAGCCATGCTAACACCAGACAGCAAGCACAGGAGAGAGATCAGGGAAGCAAGTTAGCTTGGCTGCTCCCATACCACGCTGAGGTCTCACACCACCTCATCCATTCTCTTGGCTTTTTCAAGGTTGATTTATGTCTCCGCAGACATACTGAGGACAGCTGCCTTTAAGAGGGAGCAAAGCTCCTCCTGCTGGTTACACTAAGCCGCAGATCCATGACAGCCAAACACTGTCAGTGCAGTTATCAGGCATCGGACAGAAGCCACAACCCTTAGAAGAGCCTCAAATCAGCAAGCACAGGCTGTCGCCTGGTGTGTGACAAGGGCATGTCCCAGCCCGATCCCTGCTGAGGGCCTCCCCCACCAAGGCCAGGCCAAGAGCTCGGCCCTGCTCTTTAAACCCCGGCCTGTGCTTCACCCCAGCCGAGGACCAAGCACCCCGGCAGACACCTCGCCCGCCTGGGCCCCCCCTCCCCGGGGAGCGCAAAAGACACAACCACGAGAGCCACCGGAGCCGCCCCAGCTTCTGCGCCACCCACGGCTGCCTCCCCCTCCGAAACTCGCTCCGACGAACACGTCGGCCGCCTACCAGCCCGCCTTCACGCCCGCAGCCCCTTCCGACCACCCCCCGGACCCCTCCCCCGGGGGCCCGCCCGTCTCAGGGCACCGCTGGCAAGGGCGCACGGCCCGCCCCCCCCAGCCCGCACAAACTGGGAAGGGGGGAACCCCGGGAACACAGACTCCCACCCCACACCTCTCTCCGGCCACGGACATACACTGCCCTACCAAGAGCCGGCGTGCACCATGGAACAACCGGCCGCTACGGGACGTCCTTCAGGGCCCTCCACAACCCGCCGCGCCCCCTCAGTCTCCCCCCCCCCTCGCTCTCCCCTCACACAAGCGCTTTCCGCCCGCTGAGCCAACTCTTAACTCCCACCCTCCCTTTCTTTTCGGACATCTTAACCCAGTTCCCAAGCCGCTCCACCCGAGCTAAAAGCATCCCACGCCATCAACATGGCGGCCAGCACCACCTCCTCCTCCTCACCCACGCCCTCCCACTCCCCACTGCGGCGGCGCGGCGTAAGGCCTGCTGGAAAACCGAGTCCCCGCCCTGCGCGCTGCCGCCCAGCCCTTCCCCACGGCAAACTACAAGCCCCAGAGGTCTCCGCCCCCAGCCGGCGCCGGCCAATGGGAAGGCGGCGGCGCGGCCTCTCGCCCAGCCCCGGCGAGGCGAGAAGGGGGTGATGTCATTGCCCAGCGGGCGGCCGCGGGGGCGCGCGCCGCCGTTCATTGTGCTCGGCCGGTGCCGCCTCCCGCTGCCGCTGCCGGCGGGGGGGGCCCCGCTCCCGCCCCTTCGCGCCGGTCTGGGGGGGCCACTGCTCCGAGCGCCAGCCGGGGGTTGGGGGGCTGCCCAGCCCCGCAGCCATCCCGGAGGAGGGCTGCTTTGCACTGAGCCCCGCTGCACCCATCCTAGGGAAGGGAAGGGGAGGGGAGGGGAGGGGGGGTGTGTGTGCGCCTATTCTGGCCCGAGGGTGGCTCAGCACCCATCCCGGGGGGGGTGTGCGCCGCGCGGGGAGGGTTCAGCACCCATCCCCCGAGCGGGGCTGCTTTGCGCCCAACCCCGCTGCACCTCTCCCGGGGAGCTGCGCTGCCGCCGGGTGGGTGGCTAGCACCCATCCCCGGGGGAGCGGGTTGCTTTGCACCCATCCCCGGGGGGGGCTGCACCGCGCCGGGGGGCTGCACCGCACCTTCCCCCCCCCCCCCCCTCCCGGAGGTGTGGGGGGCTGCGCCGCACCCAGCCCCGCTCTCCCCATCGTGGGGCGACGCGGGGGCTGCCAGCCTTCTCCCGTCGCGGGTGACCGGCTCCTGGCTCCCGCCTCGTTTTATGGTCGTGGAGAGGGAGGAAAAATCCCAAACCAGGTGAGTTCTGCGCTTCTCTCCTTTTTACCCCCACACCCAACTCCCCCACCTCCCGATGCGCTTCCCCGCGCTGTGCATTCCCAGCGGAGAGCCCCGCCTGTCCCTGGAATTGCTGAAAAAAGGGGCGGGGGGGGGGGAGAGGGAACCCCAACAAACCCCTACAAATCCTTAAATCAGAGAAATACTGGGAAGAGGGGTACCCATTCGGGCCCGGAGGGCAGGTGGGTCCTGGCTGCGCGTCCCGCAGCCTCCGAGCAAGTCCCGCAACTCGGGGATGCTCCGGGCGCCCCAAAATAGCGCGGTCCTGAGCGGCGGACCCCGGAGGGGAGCCCTCTCCCGTTTGGCTTCTGAACTATATAACAGCGGAAAATAAGATGGGTTTTTAATTGCTTTTGTTGAGTTTTGCTGAGCGCCTCTGATACCCGGTGTTCCTGGGGAAAAAAAAAAAAACCAAAACAAAACTAAGAAGTCGAATAAACGACGTCTGTTTCAGGATCAGTTTTGGGGTGATGGCATGCTATGTTGTGCAGCTTCTGCGTTTTGACACCCTTGTTCCTCCCCTCTTTCAGGGAAATCCAGGGATTTGAGTCAAACTGACTCAATTCCAGCTGCGTGCAGTTGGTCCAGGTTTCTTTTCCAAGTCTTATTGTGGTATGCTTCTTCAAAATTGTTGGTTGGACAGACTGATGGTTTATTTCAACTTCCAAAGTATCACTTTGGTCTTTTTCCCTTTTCTCATAAATACACAAAGTGTGTATTTTGTAAACTTTGTAAAAACTTTCTGATCCAGCAGAGCTTTATTTTAGTGTAGCTTTTTTATTTGTTTCCCTGTTCCTGGCTGTTTGCGAGGTGCACTTCAGATCTTTACTTGAACAGTGCTATGGTATTAGTGCAAGATACTAGGGTTTTTTATCTCTAGTGAGAAGGTTTTTATCCCCTTCTATAACTACATAATCGCTGCAATTGCTCATGGACCCTAGACATCTAATTTTGTGTTGGTGGCAGTGAAATGCATGCACACAAAGGGGTCCTGCTTGCCTCAAATCTGTCAGCATCTTTTCATGCCCTCTAAAGTTAATTCACTCCAAAGCCTGACTCGGGGGCTGTTCTGAGAGCAGGAAGGGAGCGTGCAGCTGAGCTGAGATTTCCCCCTCCCCTGCTGCATATTTGCTTCTGCGCTTCTCTTGTGTAACTGGCACTGTGTGTCCTCTGGCAGACTCTCCCTGGAATCACGGCGCTGGGGGACGGGGTGACATGAGTGCAGTGGGGACAATGAAACTCCCTGTTTGGTTTGATCAAAGTGTTTGTAAACACCAAGGCAGTGGTTGGGGTGTCCATGCACGATGCACGGCGTTTTACAGCCTCCTCTCCAAGTGGGATAAACATGCTGCATCCACACCTCCTCCTTGCATTTATTTTATCCGTGTTTTTTTCCTTCCTTCCTCTTTGTTACTGACTCAAAGAGGAAGAACAACAGTCTGTGCAGGAGTTGCCTTTGTTTGGTTGGTCTTTTTTTAACATTTTTATTTCCTGGAATGTCATTTTCCTCTTTATTTCACAAGGGAGAGAATGGGTAACCTAATAGAAGGTTTCCCATCTTGGCTGTAAAAGGAGAAGTTTTATAGCGGTGATTTTGTTAGCTATGGAGAGAAGGCACTGGAAATTAAGTGATAATTTGAAAGTGTAGCCTGGGAATTGTTCTGGGAAATATTGTTACAGAAGTTGGGGAGAATAAGCAAGGAATCTGTGGTCAGGGATTTTGTGTTTAAGTAACGCAGTTTTTGTGATGTCCCTCTTTTTGATTCTGCTTTCATCTTTACAAATGTTTATTGGCATTTATGCTTGTTTTATTATTTTTCCAAGTTACTTGATTTATTGAATTTAGGAAGACTTGTGACAATGTTGTCTTGTGTGCTGGCATTTTCAAGCTGTGTTATACTACAGCAAGAAATGGACTAAAAATGTCGCTCAGATATCCACACTATTAATAAGATGAAAATTTGCCTTATAGGAACAGAAATAAAGACACAAAAATGGACCAAAAGCTGCAAATCGCTCAATAGATGAGTGATTGCTGTGAAAAAGCACAGATGAGCTAAGAGGCCCTTCCTCTTGAGTAGTTTGAGTCCTGATCTTGCAAAGACCTAGGTGCAATGTATGCATTTACTGTGTTTTAAGAAGTCCCTGAGGTGCCAATTGCTGGAAGCAGAGAGGCTATCCCAGGAAGGCAGCACTAAATATCTCCTCTGGTCTTTTACTTTTTCCATAATTTCTTACTAGCGTCCAGTTTCTGAAAGGGGATTGAGAGCTAGGTGGTCTCACGGTCAGACCCTGTACAGTTTTCTTGTATTTTAGTCCTGTTCTTAAGCTGAGCTTGATGCCATCGATTGGCTTCTTAGTAAAGCCAGAAATCACATCTTTGCAAATTGGCTTTATCAGCATCACCTACATGCCCAGCGCTGTATTAAATTTGCTATCCCAGAACTATTGCAGAAAGAGGTTCAAGCTGCACTGGGATGCTGGGGTGACTCCCAACCTTATGTATAGAGGGATCCAAAGACTAGTGAGATGAGTGGAACTGGGAGGAGCCAGAGCTGGGACAGGCTTGCTGTCTGTTAAGCTTCACTTTCATCTCTGCCCCAGAGCTGAGCTGTGAGGAGACAGTGATTTTTTTTTTTTTTTTTTTTTTTTTTCCTTCTAATCTGGTGCTGGGGTATGGTGAGGCAACTGGATTTTCTGAAGGGAGAGGTGGATGCATGAAGAAGGCTTTTTGGGGGGGAACTGAGCAGTTGCTTCCCAAACAGGCATGGGGAGGGTAGGTGAGAATTGAGGAGTGGGGAAAAAGGTGTCTGTGAGCAAACTGAACCTCTGTTAGTCACTTTCTTGTGAAAGAGCTTTCTTCAGTTTGCAGATCTAGGCTGCGTGCTCCTCTTATTCACAGGTCCAGCTGCAGGTGATAGATGTTGCTCACAGCCTGAGCCGGGGGCATTGGAGCTCTCTAATGCAAGCTGCAGAACTCGTGGTTTTAGCTCTTGTTCGGTCCTTGCTGTGATAGCAAAGCTGGCATCCATCAACCGTCAAACTGAGGTGCTTGCTCTAAGTTTTGTGGTGTGTGCCAGGCAGGCATATCTGCAGCTGGGTTTTTTGGTGGGCGGAATGTGGGGTTGTTGGCATTTTCTTATTTTTACATAAAATATAGCCAAACAAGAAATTATAATAGCTGAGAATTAGATAATTTCCTTTTCTAATTTTAAGGCATATTGCTTTCTCTTTTTTTTTTTTTTTTTTTTTTTTAATTGCAGGACCAACAGTTTGAGTGCAAGCCTCGCTCTTGGCAAGTACAGAAAGAGGAGTGGGGACTGTGCTAGGAGCTAATTTGTGTGTATTGCCAAATAACCACCCAGACATTGCAAAAGTTTCAGAGATTCATTGCGATAGTGTGGCTGGCATAGCAGGAGCACAGAAGGCAGCACAGGGTGGGCACACCTTGCAGTGATGAGACTCTTTAAACCAAGAAGCTCACATGGATGCTTGCAGGGATTCACAGCAGGAGATTTAGGAGATAATAAAATCATCTTCTGTATTACAGACGGTTGTCTGACACCAAAAATATCAACCCTTGTGGCAGAGATGCTCAGCAACAGCCCTGCTTTGGCTGGAGGTGATGAGATGACCTAAGGCAATGTTTTGATTGACTCTCCAGTTCCTGTAATTTCATTTTGCAGCAAGGCATTTAGCTTCCTGCTCTGCCAGTGATTCTGTCAATAGCTAACTAAATCCTCATTTTATTTTTAATGGAACTCTTATGACGTGAAACAACTGATCTGTCATGTTTGTCATATAATCCTGGTATCTCTTGGTCAGCCTGTGTTTATATCATGAATTTAAGCTCTGTGTGTGTGCGAGTAAAATATTCCTTAGGTGCTAGTATGCTGAATTAATTAGGGCAGAACTTGTCCCTTAAAATCATTGTCAGTATTTAAACAGAGTCAACACCACATTAAAGTTTGTTGCTGTTACAGTGGCTTCATAACTTATTTGTGCTATTAAACATTGGCCCTGAATAAGGAATTGGTGAGCTTTGTGTTATGATGTAATTTGATTTCACCCTGCGTAGATAAAAATCATTAGAGAGCTTTGTTGCATTGAGCTGGGGCTAGATATTTAGGTTGCGAACAGCTTGAGACTGAATTGCTATTTGTCATCTTGCCTCTCCTGGAGTTACTGCTCTTGCTACACTGTGCTTCTGTATGCAGAGGTGCAGTCTTCCCTGATATACTTAAGGCAAAATTTAAACCACCTGTTTAGGCTAACCTAGCTATTAGTTTCCTGTGATAATTAAGGAATACTTGTACAGAGGAGACCCTTCTGTAAGGTCTTGCTTTGCTTGATACAGAGAGTGCCTCGTGGAAATCTGCTACTGTCCTTTTAAAGATCACAGGATACCCTGTTTATTTGCTTTCCTTTTGGCAGAAATGCTTTCTTTTAAGTACTGCTGAACTAAAAGTTAACTGTAACCTTTAAGTATCTCAATAGTGTTTTCTTTTAGACCTTGAAGAGAGTAATGGAAAAGGGAAGAGAGATAAGAGGAAGGGGAGGAAAGGCTGTGCTGACATGACAAAAGATGAGCTCGCACATGGTTTCTCAAAAGACTGTGTCCTGCAGGGTGAATTTAAAAGGTGAGGGGTGGAAAAAAAAGGTGTTAGAGATGCCAAAGTATATGGAAGTCAAGCAGTGCTTGGGTAAGTCTGTCCTGCTAAAGATGCTCTCCACAGAGAAATGAACTTAATGCAGGGCCTCAGCAGTCCGATCCAATGCTGCACTGTGCTGCTGCTGCTCTGTAATGAAGTTACCAAAAACTAAACTCTTCTTTTTTGATTAAGTAAAAAGTCAGTTACTCAAAGGGCAGAGTCTGTGCATTTAAAGTGGGAGTATTTCTTGATATAAATTCAGCCTATTTGCAAAAGGGAATCGCCATGGAACTACTATCCTATAGGCTG